CCCGCAGCCCCGGCCCGCTTCGAGCCGGCCACGGAGTGGAGGCGGCCGACAGCTCCTTTGGGCCGGTCGCATCCGGCACGTACACGGCCTTTGTAGGGTCCCACCCTACGGCCCCCCCATCGACGACAGGACCGCCCGTCCACGCCGTGACTTGTTTCCAGCGGCGGAGATTGAACTGGGCGTCCAAACACTTGGCCGCGGTCCGGGACGTGAGTTTCTCGTGACCGCACGCCAGCATAGGAATGCCCAGATCCCGGGATAACTCCAACATCTTCCCCAAGATGAGAGGTTCCAGCAGGTCAGGCTCCGTCTCCGGGTAAGCGGCCATCGCGAGTTCCAGCACGGCGCCCCTGTACGCTACAGGCGACTCCTCCGGTGCGCGTTGCCGCTGCACGAAGCGGCGATGGGCGTCATCCGGTGGCTCGTACGCGTCCGCCATTTCGTCGAACACTCCACGCAATGTTTTCTTCTTCGCAGCTTTTATAGAGCGAAAAAAACGAACAGACTCATCGTCAAGGAGAGTCGGAAGCACCTCCAGCGCCTCGGCGTCCGTCCACCTTGCCGTTCGTACCGCCGCCAAAAATCGACAAGCGAACGCACTCCAATCGCCCCCGATGGAGAACTCCTTAACAGTTGTAAGGTGACGACTGCGGCTCCTTGGCCTGCTTCCGTCCGTCACCGACTCTTCCGGCGGCAAGTTCAGCAAGGCGTCGCAACGCGGTGTCGCCAAGATGGCGGACGATCCTCGTGGCGGCCCCAAAATGGCGGCTTCCCGCCTTCCGTGGTGCGCCACGCCCAAGATGGCGTCTTCACGCCGCGTGGCCGATGGCGGCGCCATCGAAGACGACCCGGGCTCCTGCCGATCACCACCATCACCTTCCAACGCCGCCCTTGGCGTGACAAGGTCACACAACTCCGTGATGACGGTTTTTAGGGTCGCCAGTTGCTCCGCCATCCGGGTCCATCTTAAATCTTCGTCCTTCAACGCAGATGGGTCGGACGCAACGGCAACCTCCTCCACACCCGGGCCCTCACGGATCTCTCCCTCCGCCGAAGTGAAGCCGACCTCAGGAGGAAGATCGTCGTCGTCCGATGATGAAGCCGACGCCGGAGATGGGATATTCTTCTTCCTCAGTTGTTTCGCCATGCCGTTTCACTTCTGACTCCAGTGTAATAAAAGGACTCGAACACTTCTCTCTGTCTTCGTGTCTTTATTCAGGTTCACGTCTTTACCCACACGGCACTCTGTTATAACTCCTGTATTTGTAGCCCCCGGCTATTCACTGCTATTATAGCTTCCTCTCCCCTCTGACTCTCTGCTTCATCTACTGTAACCTCCTCCCTGCAGACTCGCTGCTACCCCTATGTGCAGACCCTCTGGCTGTCACTGTATGCAGACCCGCTGCCCACCCTCTCTGTGCAGCCCCGCTGCTGACTGCAGCCTCCTCGCTGCTTCGGGTCGGTCACCGCTGGCCAACGGTGCCGATCCTCGCTCCCCCCGTGTTCGTGGCGATCTCGCCACACCCCGCTTCGCCCTTCGTGGCCTTCCTCTGTTCCTGGTTCCCCGTCACTCCCCTTGCTCTTCCGGTTCCCCTCCTTCTATACTCAACCCCTCTGCCCCCCACGTGACCTAACTCCTCCCCCCCTGACGGCGCCTCAGAAGGGCCGTTTACAACCGCATTACAAATGCAAGAACGGGCGGCTACGGCTCAGACGTTGGCGGCTAATTTACAGACTCAGCAACATTTTTTCACCTACAAACTACGATTCAAGAGTCAACTACCAAGGCAAGTTTGTTGGTGGCATTCGAAATAGCAAAGGCTAGCAAGCCTTTCTCCGAAGGCGAGTTTGTAAAAGAATACATGGTACAGACAGCAGACATCTTGTGTCCGGAGATTAAAAGCAAACTTGAAAAAGTCAGTTTATCACAACAGGACTGTGACTCGCCGTGTGGAACTGATTGATGAAAATATAGCCAGTCAATTAAACAAAAAGTCCGATCCCTTTGAATTATATTCACTAGCACTGGATTAAAGTACGGACGTAAAATACAGTGCACAGCTCCTCATTTTTTCCGAGGCATTGACGACAGTTTTGCGATAACAGAGGAGTTTTGACCATGGAGTCCCTGAAAGGAACAACGCAGGGAGAGGACTTGTATAACCAGGTATCTGCTGTCATCGATAGAATGAAGCTACCTTGGAGTAACCTTGTCAATGTCACAATGGATGGATCGCCAAATTTAACTGGAAAAAATGTTGGGCTGCTGAAAAGTATCCAGGATAAAGTGAAAGAGGAAAACCCTGTCCAGGATCGTATTTTCCTTCCTTCACTGCATCATCCATCAGGAATCCCTGTGTAAGTCTGTATTGCAGCTTAATCATGTCGTGAATCCAGTCGTAAAACTTGTGAAATTTATACGAGCAAGGGGACTTCAGCACCGTCAGTTTATTACATTCCTGGAGGAAACTGATGCAGATCATCAGGACTTGCTGTACCACTCTCGTGTCCGCTGGTTAAATTTGGGGAAAGTGTTACAACGAGTGTGGGAGCTGAAAGAGGACAGCATCGCATTTTTGGAGTTGATGGGGAAATCTGACGAATTCCCTGAGCTAAGCGACAAGAACTGGCTTAGTGACTTTACGTTTGCTGTGGACATATTTTCACACATGAATGAGCTGAATGTGAAACTGCAGGGGAAAGATCAGTTTGTTCACAACATGTACAAACATGTGAAAGCCTTCAAATCAAAGCTCACTTTGTTCTCCGGATAAATTGCGAACAAATCTTTCGCTCATTTCCCCACACTTGCCATGCAGGAAGAGGCACCGTGAAACGCAAAAAAATACAGCAAATCACTTGAGGACCTGCACGGAGAATTCTGCCATAGGTTTTTTGATTTCGAAAATATTGAACAGTCACTTCAGCTGGTGTCCTGTCCCCTGTCACAAGACCCTGAAACAGCACCACAGGAGCTGCAGTTGGAACTGATAGATCTTCAGTCTGACTGTCCTAAAGGAGAAGTTCAACTCTGTTAAACTGAATTACTTTTATGCTTCACTGAACAGCCACGTTTCCAAATCTCCGGAGGATTGCACAGAAGATACTGACTTTGTTTGGCTCGACTTGTGTATGAGCAGACATTCGGCGTCATGAACGCCAACAAAGCCCGTCACAGATCAAAGTTAACAAATCAGCACCTCAGATCTATCCTGAGAATTGCCACAACCAAAATAACTCCAGACTTGGATGCACTGGCAAAAATGGGAGATCAACAACACTGTTCCCACTGAAACTGAAAGTGATGATGTGTTGCTGCAGCGAAGATGGAGCCAAATCTCTGACACACAGCCTGCGTGGCTGCTCTAACCTGTTAATGTAGATAATGAAGAAGTTCAAGTGAGGTAATTGGCTTGGGCGCAGGCCTCAGATATTTTCATGATGTTTGATCAGTCACGTTACGACATGTTTTTGTATTGTTCATGTTTGTGCAATTGGTTAAATTGCCTTGCAAATAAATGCTTTGCTACCTGTTAAAGGCCAAATCCTTTCATGTAATGATTTTTACATGTCATTTATATTAGTTCACACAAACACTCCATCCATCTGTTCCTGGCCCAGCCCCTCTGTCAAATTTTAAAACCCATTGTGGCCCGCGAGTAAAAAAGTTTGCCCACCCCTGCACTAGATACTACTGTAGTGACATAAAATAAGTAATGTAGCAGCATAGCACTGGCTGCTGGTGGGGAAGGGGATCTGCGGCTTACAGCAGTCCTGACATCAGAAGGCCAGGTGATATACCAGAGAAGATATTAGGGGGGAAGGTTACAGAAGGAGGACAGGGGGAAGCTCCGGGAACGCGCTGGTAGGTTCTAGAGAGGGGGCGTGGCCGGGGCGGAGCGAAGCCACGCTGGGAGCATAAAAGGGGGCCCTGATCAAGAGCTCAGGGTTGTAGTATGGATTGGGATCCCCGTCGTGCTGTTGAAGATCGTCGCCATCGACACTGTCATCTCGTCGCCATCATTGCTGTCGTCTTCACTCGATATTGCACTGCTAGACGGTCGTTGGCTGTCTCGGTTCAGCGCTGTCAGTGTTAGACGGCTAGTGTTGTGTATAGGCTAGCAACCAACTTAAGGTTGTGTATAAACGAGCGACAGAAGAGTGTGTATCAGCATTGGGTGTGTATTGCGCAAAGGGTGTTCGGTTCAATAAAATAAGTTCCCACCACTCTTAGCGCCTCCGAGTTCAGTCACTACACTACTATAGAATCACTAGATGCTACTTTAGAGTAAGTTGGTACTACAATAGTCACTAGATACTGCTGACTCAATTGTTTGAGGGTGTGTAGGTATATAAGCCTACAAAATACAAATTGGCTGGAGAGGGGGGGTTTAAAGATTTTTGGAGGGGGTCGACAATTTTTGGAAACCTTTTAGATCAATTATTTACCCCCAACTTACTATTACTTTTTGATTCAGGACTTCTGCAAGCCTCTTGTAATTTTGTTGAGGGACAAATGGACAGACAAACAGAACGCCGGGTTTTCACAATAGCTTTGTATTTGTGTATGTATATTTTGTGTTTTTTAAGAGAAGACATGTTTTGAAATACATTTTCCCCCAGGCAAAGCCGGGGACTTCCTCCTAGTAAGATGTATACAATGTTATTTTAAAAAATATAAAGAAGTAACCCGACTTTAACTCCAACATATACATTATTGGATTAAGCTCATAGAGGTACTGTAAAGCGCACCTGCTCTTGACACATCATAGGACATGGGGATAATTCATGAACTCAGAGGGACACTGAGACTCAGAGGGACGCATGGACACACATGGAGATACTGAGACTCAGAGGGACACATGGGGGACACTGTATTTATGTGGAATGTTGTCAATGTACTATGAGTCTACCCTTCAAACACTCGTTTGAAAAATAAATTGACGGGCATGTCAAATATTAAATCCACTTAAAATGAGTCTGAGCCACCTCCTCCTCACCTTTCGTTTATCGTGCTCCACCTTCAGAGTGACGAGCTCGTGCCCTCGATGATCCACAGAGACGGTGCAGTCCCTGCAGACGAGGCGTCCGTCGTTAATGCAATAGAAGCAGTACTCGTCACCATGCTCCACGCACCGTCGATTCTCCAGGTTCACACCGGGCGACACCAGGACGTGGTCACTAAACTTTGCCAACTTCCTGTGGGGCGCGACGTGGGTCACACAGAACGACGTCTCACACTTAAGGCAAGTCTTCACTGCGAGCTTCCTGCAATGATCGCAGCAAACAGCAGAAGCAGCAGCATCGGCAGCCATGGACTCATCCACTCGCAGCTGCTCGATGAGGTTGGTGAGTGTCACGCTCTTGTTCAGCTTTGGCCTCCGAGGGAAAGTCACTCGGCACTGTGGGCAGGAGAATAACTCTGCCGTATCCCAGGCGTCCTCCACGCACTTGAGGCAGAACGAGTGGCCGCAGCTGAGTGTGCAGGGGCAGCGGAAGGTGTCCAGGCAGATGGGGCAGTTAAACTCCCCTGGAGCCTCGCTATCACTGGCAGCCACACTCGCCATGGCCCTGTCGCTCCACTCAGAGATGGGCGCTGGATTGAGCTCAGGGAGTATCTAGCTGGAGCTCCGTCAGTCGCTGGCTGTAGATCTGGCAGTCTTTCTGTAACACAGTCTTCCTGTAGCTGAGGGAGCTTCTTAATGTAGCTCACGCTATCTTTGCCTGTAGTTCCGGCAGACTGGCTGTAGCTCCGGCAGTATCTAGCTATAGCTCACGCAGTCTCTGGCGACATCTGAGACATTAAACCAGGAACAAGCATCCTAAATATGAGGCAGGTTAAAGTACAAACTCTTTTAGTTTTTTTTGCATATCATAAGGCGCGCCCTGGAATGTGTTGACTGTTGACCAGGCAGAGACGTCTCGGTGCCAGAAGTAGCTAAATAAAGACTCAGCTCACCTTATCTCAATTTACCTCATCTCAACTAACCTATTTTCAACTCACCTTGTGTCAACTCATCTCATTCTCAACACACTTCTGTAAAGGTTGGTCCATCTTGGACATAACAAAATTCCTTCTTGTAGTCCACATAGCTGCACTCACAAGAAACAACTACCCTCCAATTAAACAAACTCATGCAGAGATGAGGTAGGTTGTCCCCTAACAAAGTTTAATTCACCTAGCAAACTCCAAACAATCGTGACCCAAAATACACAAATATCAGAACAGTTGAGCAAACAATCCCGGCGCTTCTCGTACAGACAGTCCAGAAAGGACGTTGGAGTTTCAGTTTAAAAATTCCCTCCAACCTCACGTCTGCTTTTCCGTCCGGTCTTAAACAGATCTGCAGGGTTCACGAAGTGTGTCCAAAACATTGGCCACGAGTAATAAGCCTGGCCCAGTGCACAGCCAGGGACTCGCAAACCAAAGCAGGTGGCACCGCAGGTGTCCTCAACAGTCTGAAATGAAAAGAGCTGCTGCAGTTGTTGTGGTTGGGTTTCTCGCACATTCAAAAACACCCATTTGAAGAGGAATTGTCTGAACGTCCCAAAACAATAATTCTTTAATAATAGACTCATTGAGGCTTTACTTATTGAAGGACAATTTACGCAGATTTCCCTTTGCTGCAAGTGACAGATACGTTATAAAAAATGGCGACCTCTAGGGCAGGGGCGTCGCCATCCACGAGTCAAGCGGTGGCTCCAGCACTGCCTCGGTGAGCCTCGCTACATCTGTTAACAGCAGTGCTCATCTCAATGTTGTATATGTCGGGTTATGAAAAATGTATAAAAATTTTATTAAGATTGAAAAAATGCGTAATTTTCGGAAATTATGGTTCATGCACTCTTCTAATTAGTCTTCTTATGATTGGCTCGGTTTCATGTGTGTGTGTGTTGGATTGTCTCCTTGATAAATTCTTGTGTTAGTCCGGGTATGTATATGTGTGTGTGGTGTTTTGGTTCCCTTGATCAATTCTTTGCGTTAGGCAGATGCCGGCGATGCGTGTTGGCGTGCGAATGCGGGCGTGTCATACGAACGGCTTCGGAGAGCCCCCTCTCTTGCTTGGGGCGTGTTTGCTGTTAGCTGCCGTCTCTCTCCGCAGCTGGATGAGCTGCGTCGGCACGATGCTTGTCCTTGAAGATGCTTGGTCGCTCTTGTCGCTCGTCCGCTGGCAGCTGCCCTTGTTCGATGGCGCAGCTGACACACTAATGCTGGCTTGGTCGATGTTTGGCGCTTTCCGCCCATTCTCGAGGATGATGCTAGAATTCTCGTCAGCTCAACTCGAACGGCAGTGGCTCGTGGGAGTCGGTACCCAGAGCAGAATGACTTTCTAGCGATACTTCTTCTGTTGGCGCTGAACTCGCACCGGGTAGCACATCGCTACTCAGCGAGCCTCGCCATCCTGGTTGATTGCTGGCTCTTCTTCTGCTGGGATCTTCTTCTGCAGGCTGGCTTCTTCTGCTGGAGTCTTCTTCTGCTGGATTCTTCTTCTGCTGGCCAGCTTCTGAAATGTATGGGCCGAGTCTCTGGTTAAATCTGAAAAATCTCTCCCCTTGGCATGCCTTCTTACAAAGGACCGGAACCATTCTTTGTGTTTGCTCCCCGCCTGTGGAAACAGCTGCACGTGTGTCCGTGTGTGTGTGTTCTGATTTTATTGAGGTAATATATGTTCAAAGCCTGCTTTCTATCGCCTTCATCGGTTATCCTGGTATTAATAGAAGCAGCTGTCCCAGATTGCCCCCACGTGCGTCCTTTCAGCCCCCTTCACCCTCTGTAATAATTAACCTGGAAGGAGGGGGGTTTCCCCGTCTTCGCCCGCTCCACTGTTGGATCTATGCCCTGTTTTCCGTTATTAATATTAAGAATAATTAAGAAAAAAAAATATTTCTCTTTTTATTATATCTATATATACCTTTTAATTAAATAATGAAAACAACCCACTACAAACACCAGGAATCTGTGAAACGGCCATTAAACTGGTAAGAAGTCGGTGACAGAGAGGTCATAGACATCCAGATGGACAAAAGATGTATGGACTAACCTCCCAAAGACATCTGGAGATGTACAGATAAGGTGCAGAGCAAACAACGGTTGAAACTCGCGTTTTCTTAACGTTTTCCTTACCGAAAAGTAGAAACTTAACATAGATAATTAACCAACAAACAATAATAGTATTATTAGTAATTCCCTTATATTCACCGCATACATATAATTTAGAAGTATATGTTTCCTATCTACACGACCTTCCGAAAAACTAGAGTACGAATTCCAGAAAGCTTAAGTGCATGTGCACTTAACCTCAGGACATAAAAAAATTAACTCAGAATAAAACACCAATCTCTGGAGAACTAAACTTGGCGAAGCCCAAAATAATAATGTGACGAGGATCATGGCGAATATTCATTAAACATAGACGAATGATAACCCCGATACCAAGACCGAAGGAACTCATAAAATATAATTCAAGAATAAATGTAACACACAGGACCACATAAATGTATTGCAAACATCTCCTCGACCACCTTTGTCTTCCAGCGGGGTCTGACCTCAGAATGACCCACCCAGGGTAAGCAAGAAGGGAGCAGAAAGGTCACAAAGGGGGGGGGTTTGTGCTGACATGGTTTGTTTTCTCTCGCAAGAGACGCGGAGAAACGAGAGGGTGCTCACGCTTGAGTTAAACACGGCCGCCTGTCTCCCCGCAGCACAAACAGATGGCCCAGGAATGCTTGGAGGGTTAGGAAAAGGTCACGAGGAGGGATCGCGCCGGTGTCTGCTTCTTCTCGCTCTGTTTGTGTTTTTTTTTGGTTGCCCGCTCGCAAGGAATGCAGAGAGAAGGGAGTCACGTTTTAAGTTAGGCACACACACAGCGAACGAGCAGTCAGTCCGAGTCGAGCTCAGCGTTGCGACGGGGCACGCAAGGGAGCTGTGGCAGTCGTGCCTCGAGGAGAGATGGAACGACGAGACATCGTTAAAGTGACAGTCTGAGAGCAGTCTGTTCGAGTCGCGCTCAGTCTCGCAACTCGGCTTGCGACGCAGCGTTGCGACGGGGGCTCGCAAGAGAGCTGGGGCGGTTGTGCCTCGAGAAGTGATGGAACGAGGAGGAGTCGTTCGAGTCGCAGAAGTCTGAGTTCAACCTGGGTCGGGGCTGGGTTTCAGCCGTGCTCCGGCTGGTGGAGCGTCGTGAGGACACGAAACACCGATGCCGATAGCCGGAGTCGCTTCTCGCAGAACGAAGTTAAGTGCGAGTGAAGCTGGCCGCTGCACGAACAAGGGAAGCACGGAGCAGAGAGAGTGACGAGTGACGACAAGCAATCAACCTGTAAAAGGGCGGAGATCGCCAAGCGTCGACCAAGTGTGCAAAGCAGAGAGCGCGAAGCAGTGGAGAAAGCCTGGTCAAACGGCTGTGAGGAAGAGGACAGCACCATCGAATGCGCCGTGTGTTTGAGGGCACACCTACCAAAGACCAGTGTAAACAGACAAGACGTCACCGGGCGTCACCGAGCGTCGTGCCAACTCATCATCCAGCAGTGGAGAAAGCCTGGTCAAACGGCTGTGAGGAAGAGGACAGCACCATCGAATGCGCCGTGTGTTTGAGGGCACACCTACCAAAGACCAGTGTAAACAGACAAGACGTCACCGGGCGTCACCGAGCGTCGTGCCAACTCGTCATCCAGCAGTGGAGAAAGCCTGGTCAAACGGCTGTGAGGAAGAGGACAGCACCATCAAATGAGCCGTGTGTTTGAGGGCACACCTACCAAAGACCAGTGTAAACAGACAAGACGTCACCGGGCGTCACCGAGCGTCGTGCCAACTCGTCATCTAGCAGTAGAGAGAGAGCGCAAGAGCAGCACGACTCGGACGTCACCGGGCGTCACCGAGCGTCGTGCCAACTCGTCATCCAGCAGAGGGAGAGAGAGCACAAGAGCAGCACGACTCGGACGTCACCGGGCGTCACCGAGCGTCGTGCCAACTCGTCATCCAGCAGTGGAGAAAAGAGAGAGCACAAGCAGAGACGCGTCCGAGCGAGGGAGCAGCAGGAGCTTGCGGCGGCCACGCCCAATCGAGAGGAACACCTGGCCGCTGTTTGTATCCTCCTACACCACACAAGCTAACGACACAATTAATATTACGAGAGGACAACGCACACACAGCACGCACACGAATAAGACTTTCAAAAAGTGATCTTTGCGTTTCAAAAAGGGTTGCCATTTCGAGGTGGTGCGTTCAATATCAACTGATCGTGCAAAGCAGTTGCTGCCGTCGAGTTACATGAATAAGAAATGTTTTAGTCATTCATTTTCGTTAACTGCATAATTTCGCCAATGAAGAAGTATTTTTAGTCATTCAATTTCGTTAATTGCATAAGATTGCTCATGAATTATTGACGCATGTTTGACCTGCATGCTAGAATGTCACATGTTTGTTTAGAATAAAATTGTTATCACAGAAGCGACTCGAGTGTTCCTTCCAAGTCCATGCAAAACTATCTTATTCTTGATAACTGTATCCTGTGATGAGATCTGAAACTGGAGACCTAAAAATAACAAACACACTAAGATAATCGGT